ACACAATGGAAGGATCTCAGGCGTGGAATTCCTCGGGGCTGCGGCAGCCGGGAAAAGAGGAGATTCATGTTTCCGGGCCCCTGATATATATTATCCGACACACATGGAGGGGCCCCAATGGTGCCCATAGACCCTCCATGGCGGGAAGATTGTAGAGACAGGTCCACTTGTAGGGAATCCCCATTACCCCGGAGATCTGAGAACATGTAACACGCATCCTTCCATGACACACACACAGAGCATTGCATGCAGACTTGAATACAGTGAGTTCAGCTCGGCATGCGTTGTGGGGCAATAACTAAGAGGGGCTTCTACTCCCTTTATGTGATGGAGCTGCAGCCAGGCATGTAGCATTGCAGGGCAGCCTATCTCTCTGACTGACACCCTATAATGACCTTCTCCTGTAGACATATCTGGGCCGACATGGAACCCCCCAAAAATATTGTCAAGATTGCCGTGCAGATGATGGGCGCATACCCGCAGCTGATTGAGCTCAATCAGGTAAAATCTATAACTTCAATGCCCAACAGGATTGGGAGACCATGTGACAGGCAGGGGCTCTAACACAATGCTTTCCTATTGCAGAGCAAACCTCTGTCTGCAGTGCTGAAGGACGTGTGCGACGCGTGAGTCATATTCTACATACACACAACACGCATGACACCCATTGCAGCAGATCCTATTCATCGGTTTCCCTCCTTCATACAGATACAACTCATGTTCTATCATACTAACGGTTATGGTTACATACTGACAACACGGCACAGCCAGATATGTATACCGACACCATGCCAAATGTACCGAACAATAGACTCACCTGAACCATGGCTGGTAAATGTCCGGCGTTTGGTCTGAACCATGGCTGGTAAATGTCCGGCGTTTGGTCTGAACCATGGCTGGTAAATGTCCGGCGTTTGGTCTGAACCATGGCTGGTAAATGTCCGGCGTTTGGTCTGAACCATGGCTGGTAAATGTCCGGCGTTTGGTCTGAACCATGGCTGGTAAATGTCCGGCGTTTGGTCTGAACCATGGCTGGTAAATGTCCGGCGTTTGGTCTGAACCATGGCTGGTAAATGTCCAAGAGCATTGCATGCAGACTTGAATACAGTGAGTTCAGCTCGGCATGCGTTGTGGGGCAATAACTAAGAGGGGCTTCTACTCCCTTTATGTGATGGAGCTGCAGCCAGGCATGTAGCATTGCAGGGCAGCCTATCTCTCTGACTGACACCCTATAATGACCTTCTCCTGTAGACATATCTGGGCCGACATGGAACCCCCCAAAAATATTGTCAAGATTGCCGTGCAGATGATGGGCGCATACCCGCAGCTGATTGAGCTCAATCAGGTAAAATCTATAACTTCAATGCCCAACAGGATTGGGAGACCATGTGACAGGCAGGGGCTCTAACACAATGCTTTCCTATTGCAGAGCAAACCTCTGTCTGCAGTGCTGAAGGACGTGTGCGACGCGTGAGTCATATTCTACATACACACAACACGCATGACACCCATTGCAGCAGATCCTATTCATCGGTTTCCCTCCTTCATACAGATACAACTCATGTTCTATCATACTAACGGTTATGGTTACATACTGACAACACGGCACAGCCAGATATGTATACCGACACCATGCCAAATGTACCGAACAATAGACTCACCTGAACCATGGCTGGTAAATGTCCGGCGTTTGGTCTGAACCATGGCTGGTAAATGTCCGGCATTTGGTCTGAACCGTGGCTGGTAAATGTCCGGCATTTTGTCTGAACGATGGCCCGGCATTTGTTGGGTGATTGTTGGTAAGTGCCTGGCATTGGAAGTTTATGGAGTAACTTTGCCATGTCATGTTCAGTAGAGACTACAGACTTCTATAATGAGGAAGGTTTGGAAGCTCCGCCTCCCCATCTGTGATATTTCCTGTCTAGGTGACACCTCAGAACACGTTTCCTCTCTGGACACACACAACTTCGAACTCTTCCACACACTGACCAGAAAATATTGGCTGCAGTTGAGGGGGTACAGAAAGAGCTGTAGTGGATTATTATGGGATGTAGAAAGTCTTATAACGTCTCTGTGTGGTCTTTAGGTGGAATATCAGTAATTCAGAACAGTATGCCCTTCAGTATGTGGATGGACATCAGGCATACATCACTGAGCTGGTGAGTAATTGGCGGCACATCCTGTAACTCTGGTGATTTATCTGTTCTCGGTATCATGATCCAGCCTATTCCTAGTCACACAGAAGTGGGAAAGGCCTTGTAACCAGGGCCGGATTTATTCCCCGAGGCCGGGCCTTGGTTGGCCTTGTAACCAGGGCTGGATTTATTCCCCGAGGCCGGGCCTTGGTTGGCCTTGTAACCAGGGCCGGATTTACTCTCTCTACTCCCCGAGGCCGGGCCTTGGTTGGCCTTGTAACCAGGGCCGGATTTACTCTCTCTACTCCCCGAGGCCGGGCCTTGGTTGGCCTTGTAACCAGGGCCGGATTTATTCCCCGAGGCCGGGCCTTGGTTGGCCTTGTAACCAGGGCCGGATTTACTCTCTCTACTCCCCGAGGCCGGGCCTTGGTTGGCCTTGTAACCAGGGCCAGATTTACTCTCTCTACTCCTCGAGGCCGGGCCTTGGTTGGCCTTGTAACCAGGGCCAGATTTACTTTCTCTACTCCCCGAGGCCGGGCCTTGGTTGGCCTTGTAACCAGGGCCGGATTTATTCCCCGAGGCCGATCCTTGGTTGGCCTTGTAACCAGGGCCGGATTTATTCCCCGAGGCCGATCCTTGGTTGGCCTTGTAACCAGGGCCGGATTTATTCCCCGAGGCCGATCCTTGGTTGGCCTTGTAACCACTTTTTCACTCCTGTCTTCGGTCTTCACAGATCACAATATGGCAGCCAGCTTCATCTATTAAAGTTATAGCCATCATGAAGCTGATCAGATGTAAATTGATATTTTATTGTGTTCATGAATGATCCTATTTTCATTTTCACTTCTAGAATAGAATGGAAATAAAGAACGGCAGCATCCTGAAACTGACCACATCCCCGGTGAGTTCCTTAGGAGGAGCAAAGTCAGACATTGTCCTGAGGGTGATGGTGACCCAGATGTGTGCAGTATTGGGGACAGTTGTGGCTTTATGTCACCGGCTTTGATAAGTGGCCTTGAGTCCATCGGTGCAGCTGCTGATCATTGGTGACTGCAGGACAAGTGACAGGTAAAGGTTTTCTGTGGCAGACTGTCCGAGTATCCCTAAAGGAAATCTATCCCAAAACAAAATATTTGAGTGAGAGGGCTGAAATGGAAGCAGCTATTCTCTTTCCAGGGTCATATTCTAATCCCGGGGTCATATTCTCTTTCCAGGGTCATATTCTAATCCCGGGGTCATATTCTCTTTCCAGGGTCATATTCTAATCCCGGGGTCATATTCTCTTTCCAGGGTCATATTCTAATCCCGGGGTCATATTCTCTTTCCAGGGTCATATTCTAATCCCGGGGTCATATTCTCTTTCCAGGGTCATATTCTAATCCCGGGGTCATATTCTCTTTCCAGGGTCATATTCTAATCCCGGGGTCATATTCTCTTTCCAGGGTCATATTCTAATCCCGGGGTCATATTCTCTTTCCAGGGTCATATTCTAATCCCGGGGTCATATTCTCTTTCCAGGGTCATATTCTAATCCCGGGGTCATATTCTCTTTCCAGGGTCATATTCTAATCCCGGGGTCATATTCTCTTTCCAGGGTCATATTCTAATCCCGGGGTCATATTCTCTTTCCAGGGTCATATTCTAATCCCGGGGTCATATTCTCTTTCCAGGGTCATATTCTAATCCCGGGGTCATATTCTCTTTCCAGGGTCATATTCTAATCCCGGGGTCATATTCTCTTTCCAGGGTCATATTCTAATCCCGGGGTCATATTCTCTTTCCAGGGTCATATTCTAATCCCGGGGTCATATTCTCTTTCCAGGGTCATATTCTAATCCCGGGGTCATATTCTCTTTCCAGGGTCATATTCTAATCCCGGGGTCATATTCTCTTTCCAGGGTCATATTCTAATCCCGGGGTCATATTCTCTTTCCAGGGTCATATTCTAATCCCGGGGTCATATTCTCTTTCCAGGGTCATATTCTAATCCCGGGGTCATATTCTCTTTCCAGGGTCATATTCTAATCCCGGGGTCATATTCTCTTTCCAGGGTCATATTCTAATCCCGGGGTCATATTCTCTTTCCAGGGTCATATTCTAATCCCGGGGTCATATTCTCTTTCCAGGGTCATATTCTAATCCCGGGGTCATATTCTCTTTCCAGGGTCATATTCTAATCCCGGGGTCATATTCTCTTTCCAGGGTCATATTCTAATCCCGGGGTCATATTCTCTTTCCAGGGTCATATTCTAATCCCGGGGTCATATTCTCTTTCCAGGGTCATATTCTAATCCCGGGGTCATATTCTCTTTCCAGGGTCATATTCTAATCCCGGGGTCATATTCTCTTTCCAGGGTCATATTCTAATCCCGGGGTCATATTCTCTTTCCAGGGTCATATTCTAATCCCGGGGTCATATTCTCTTTCCAGGGTCATATTCTAATCCCGGGGTCATATTCTCTTTCCAGGGTCATATTCTAATCCCGGGGTCATATTCTCTTTCCAGGGTCATATTCTAATCCCGGGGTCATATTCTCTTTCCAGGGTCATATTCTAATCCCGGGGTCATATTCTCTTTCCAGGGTCATATTCTAATCCCGGGGTCATATTCTCTTTCCAGGGTCATATTCTAATCCCGGGGTCATATTCTCTTTCCAGGGTCATATTCTAATCCCGGGGTCATATTCTCTTTCCAGGGTCATATTCTAATCCCGGGGTCATATTCTCTTTCCAGGGTCATATTCTAATCCCGGGGTCATATTCTCTTTCCAGGGTCATATTCTAATCCCGGGGTCATATTCTCTTTCCAGGGTCATATTCTAATCCCGGGGTCATATTCTCTTTCCAGGGTCATATTCTAATCCCGGGGTCATATTCTCTTTCCAGGGTCATATTCTAATCCCGGGGTCATATTCTCTTTCCAGGGTCATATTCTAATCCCGGGGTCATATTCTCTTTCCAGGGTCATATTCTAATCCCGGGGTCATATTCTAATTCCGGGGTCATATTCTCTTTCCGGGTCATATTCTAATCCCAGGGTCAAATTCTAATCCCAGGGTCATATTCTAATCCCGGGGTCATATTCTCTTTCCGGGGTCATATTCTAATTCCAGGGTCATATTCTAATTCCAGGGTCATATTCTAATTCCGGGGTCATATTCTAATTCCAGAGTAGCAAAGCTGACATTTTTCATCTTGTCTGAGTGACCTGAGTGCTCTTATAACATGGGCATCAACCCCGGCCTTCATGCTTTTTGAATTCATTTCCCTCACACTGTCAGAATCCAGGTAGTCCATGGGTTCCGCCACTTGGCTCTTTCTCAGTATAGCTCTGTACAAGCGGTCATATTCTGTTTCCGGGGTCATAGTCTAATCCCTGGGTCATATTCTCATCCCGGGGTCATATTCTAATCCCAGGGTCATATTCTAATCCCAGGGTCATATTCTAATCCCAGGGTCATATTCTAATCCCAGGGTCATATTCTCTTTCCAGGGTCATATTCTCTTTCCAGGGTCATATTCTAATCCCAGGGTCATATTCTAATCCCAGGGTCATATTCTCTTTCCGGGGTCATATTCTAATTCCAGGGTCATATTCTAATCCCGGGGTCATATTCTAATCCCGGGGTCATATTCTCTTTCCGGGGTCATATTCTAATCCCAGGGTCATATTCTAATCCCAGGGTCATATTCTAATCCCAGGGTCATATTCTAATCCCAGGGTCATATTCTCTTTCCGGGGTCATATTCTAATTCCGGGGTCATATTCTAATTCCGGGGTCATATTCTAATCCCGGGGTCATATTCTCTTTCCGGGGTCATATTCTAATCCCAGGGTCATATTCTAATCCCGGGGTCATATTCTAATTCCGGGGTCATATTCTAATTCCGGGGTCATATTCTAATTCCAGGGTCATATTCTAATTCCGGGGTCATATTCTAATTCCGGGGTCATATTCTAATTCCAGGGTAGCAAAGCTGACATTTTTCATCTTGTCTGAGTGACCTGAGTGCTCTTATAACATGGGCATCAACCCCGGCCTTCATGCTTTTTGAATTCATTTCCCTCACACTGTCAGAATCCAGGTAGTCCATGGGTAAGCAAAGCTGACATTTTTCATCTTGTCTGAGTGACCTGAGTGCTCTTATAACATGGGCATCAACCCCGGCCTTCATGCTTTTTGAATTCATTTCCCTCACACTGTCAGAATCCAGGTAGTCCATGGGTTCCGCCACTTGGCTCTTTCTCAGTATAGCTCTGTACAATGGGAGACAATAGCACTTAAAGATTGCCAGATCCATAAAACACTGGAGAGATGTCTGGAAAAGTCTCAATCAATGAATGCTGTACGTGTGATGTGGCCAGCGACACAATTATACTCCAAGAATGTCTTTTGTAGCTGATCCTGCGACAGGAACTGGGCTGGAGCACATTTCATCTCATTGTTAATCATTTCTAATACAAGGACGGTGGTTCATGTGAAATGGTCTGTCATAGTCCTGTCGTCCATTTATTCTTATTTTTTTCTCCCATAAAAGGACAAAGAAGCCGGCAGTCTGTGCAATGGCGTCCAGAGTCACAACCAGGATGTGAGATCAGAGTCTCTGAAGAAACTGGCTACCTTGTCCTGTGATGTCACATTTGCCCAGGAATTCATCAGCCGTGATGGACTCAGTATTCTGTCCAGGACGGTGGAAGAGCAGAAAGAGTAAGAGTCAATAAACACAAATTCTATATTTATTATGACATGTTTCATAGTCGCCGTCCTTGGTGCCATCGTACTGTTCTCTTGGTGCCTTTGGTGGCACTGGAAAGTAGAAGGTAGATCGAGCAGAAAATAGAGAGGATGTTACTAAACTGGAGACTCTGTTTTGGAAAAGGAAAGGATTGGCTGATGGTAATGTTCAGGAAATGTATGTCATGAGGGAAATCTAACATACTCCATGTACTAGCTTTCTGCATTGTACTGCCTAGTGTGTGATCAACTGGACTGTAGACTTTCTGAGCTCACAGGCAATCAACCTGAATAAATGAACCTTTTTCTGGGGATCTTTCTCCGTATCTCTAATCAGTTTAAATATTATAAATATGGATATGGTGGCTATTAACCGAAGTGGTAAGGTCCTTTGATGTTGGCCCAGGGCACTCTTGTAGATGGGGTGGACACTCTGGTAGTTCAATGGAGACTGTACAATATCGTGTACATGTTTCTGGTGTTGGCCTTTCACAACAATGATCCCAGTAGCGTCTTACTGGGACAATACATTGTTAGCCTTCTGATGTACATAGAGGCTGAGCTTGTCTTCATACCAAGAACCTCTCTTACAAGATCCTTTTCTCACTTTAAATTCTGAACACACAGTTAGGTCTGGAAATAATTGGACACTGACAGAATTTTCCTAATTCTTCCTCTGTACGCCACCGCAATGGATTTGAAATAAAACAACTGAAATGCAATTGAAGTGCAGACTTTCATCTTTGATTCAAGGAGTTGAGCAGAAATCTCATATGAAATGTTTAGGAATTCTAAATGATTTGCACCTTGTGGTGAACCCTCTGTATTTGCATTCTCTTCATGATAGACTTGGATAATGATATGCCGACCTCCTGGAGAGTGTTCTTCACTTGGCTGTATGTTGTGAACGGGTTTTTCTTTACTATGGAAAGGATCATTCACCACTGTTGTCTTCCATGGAGGTCCATGCCTTCTTGTGTTGAAGAGCTTACCAGTTTGTTTGTTTTTTCTCAGAATGTACCAAACTGGATTTGGCCACTCCTAATGTTCCCAATATCTCTCTGATGGATTTATTTTCTTTGCAGCCTGTTTCACTTGCACTGAGAGCTCCCCTAATTGCATGTTGTGGGTTCACAGCAACAGCTTCCAAATGCGAATGCCATGCCTAGAATCAACTCCAGACCTATTACCTGCTGAGCTGAAGGAATAGCCCACAACTGTCCATGAAACAGCTTTTGAGTTAATTGTCCAATTACTTTTGGTCCCTTGAAAAAGAGGGGGCTACATATTAAAGAACTATAATTCCTAAACCCTTCTTCCAATATGGATGTGTATACCCTCAACTTAAAGCTGAGAAAATGCACTTTAAGCCCATATCCCTAGGATGTGGAGTTTAAGGGCCAGCTACTGTTCACCAGAGCTCCAGATGGTGGAGATGGACATGGCTGCGTGCTGACCCCAGGTCACTATCCCCTGGTTCACCCAACTCAGCAGCCTACAAAGACTCAAAGTTCAGGATGCACTGCGGACACAGGTACAGGGACCAAATCAAAGGTTAGGGACAAGCCTAAGACTAGGACTTCCAGGGATGAGCCAAAGGTAGGAGCAGACTGTAGACAGGGATTTCCAAGGGCAAAGCGAAGCACAGAGCAGACTGTAGACAGTGATTTCCAAGGACAAGGCGAAGCACAGGGCAGACTGCAGACAGGGATATCCAAGGGCAAAGCACAGGGCAGACGACAGACAATGATTTCCAAGGACAAGGCGAAGTACAGAGCAGACTGTAGACAGGGTTTTCCAAGGACAAGGCGAAGCACAGGGCAGCCTGTAGACAGGGATATCCAAGGGCAAAGCAAAGCACAGGGCAGCCTGTAGACAGGGATTTCCAAGGGCAAAGCGAAGCACAGAGCAGACTGTAGACAGGGTTTTCCAAGGACAAGGCGAAGCACAGGGCACACTGCAGACAAGGATATCCAAGGGCAAAGCGAAGCACAGAGCAGACTGTAGACAGGGATTTCCAAGGACAAAGCGAAGCACAGAGCAGACTGTAGACAGGGATTTCCAAGGACAAAGCGAAGCACAGAGCAGACTGTAGACAGGGATTTCCAAGGACAAAGCGAAGCACAGAGCAGACTGCAGACAGGGATTTCCAAGGACAAGGCGAAGCACAGGGCAGACTGCAGACAGGGATTTCCAAGGACAAGGCGAAGCACAGGGCAGACTGCAGACAGGGATATCCAAGGACAAAGCAAAGCACAGGGCAGACTGCAGACAATGATTTCCAAGGACAAGGCGAAGTACAGGGCAGACTGCAGACAGGGATATCCAAGGACAAAGCGAAGCACAGAGCAGACTGTAGACAGGGATATCCAAGGGCAAAGCGAAGCACAGAGCAGACTGTAGACAGGGATTTCCAAGGACAAAGCGAAGCACAGGGCAGACTGCAGACAGGGATATCCAAGGACAAAGCGAAGCACAGAGCAGACTGTAGACAATGATATCCAAGGACAAAGCGAAGCACAGGGCAGACTGTAGACAGGGATATCCAAGGGCAAAGCGAAGCACAGAGCAGACTGTAGACAGGGATATCCAAGGGCAAAGCGAAGCACAGAGCAGACTGTAGACAGGGATTTCCAAGGACAAAGCGAAGCACAGAGCAGACTGTAGACAGGGATTTCCAAGGACAAAGCGAAGCACAGAGCAGACTGTAGACAGGGATTTCCAAGGACAAAGCGAAGCACAGGGCAGACTGCAGACAGGGATTTCCAAGGACAAGGCGAAGCACAGGGCAGACTGCAGACAGGGATTTCCAAGGACAAGGCGAAGCACAGGGCAGACTGCAGACAGGGATATCCAAGGACAAAGCAAAGCACAGGGCAGACTGCAGACAATGATTTCCAAGGACAAGGCGAAGTACAGGGCAGACTGCAGACAGGGATATCCAAGGACAAAGCGAAGCACAGAGCAGACTGTAGACAGGGATATCCAAGGGCAAAGCGAAGCACAGAGCAGACTGTAGACAGGGATTTCCAAGGACAAAGCGAAGCACAGGGCAGACTGTAGACAGGGATATCCAAGGACAAAGCGAAGCACAGGGCAGACTGTAGACAGGGATATCCAAGGACAAAGCGAAGCACAGGGCAGACTGTAGACAGGGATATCCAAGGACAAAGCGAAGCACAGGGCAGACTGTAGACAGGGATATCCAAGGACAAAGCGAAGCACAGGGCAGACTGTAGACAGGGATATCCAAGGACAAAGCGAAGCACAGGGCAGACTGTAGACAGGGATATCCAAGGACAAAGCGAAGCACAGGGCAGACTGTAGACAGGGATATCCAAGGACAAAGCGAAGCACAGGGCAGACTGTAGACAGGGATATCCAAGGACAAAGCGAAGCACAGGGCAGACTGTAGACAGGGATATCCAAGGACAAAGCGAAGCACAGGGCAGACTGTAGACAGGGATATCCAAGGACAAAGCGAAGCACAGGGCAGACTGTAGACAGGGATATCCAAGGACAAAGCGAAGCACAGGGCAGACTGTAGACAGGGTTTCCAAGGACAAAGCGAAGCACAGAGCAGACTGTAGACAGGGATTTCCAAGGACAAAGCGAAGCACAGAGCAGACTGTAGACAGGGATTTCCAAGGACAAAGCGAAGCACAGGGCAGACTGCAGACAGGGATATCCAAGGACAAAGCAAAGCACAGGGCAGACGGCAGACAATGATTTCCAAGGACAAGGCGAAGTACAGGGCAGACTATAGCTAGGATTTCCAAGGACAATCCAGAGTTTAGTACACAGGTAAACTATAGGAAATTCAGCTTCAACAGCAAACAGGAGGTTAGGGTTAGGAAACCAACAAAGAGGGTCCGGCTTAGGGTTAGTGTGTAGACACGTTGCTCAAACCAAGCGCAACAAGTGAGGCTTTGTACTTTTAATGGGGTTGTCCAGAGTGGATTGGCAGGAAGACAAGCAGCTCAGGCAGAAGGTAAAACCCGGTGCCGGATCATAACACAGGGAAGTGTGACACCTGGAAAGCTTTGCACATTGTAACTGCCACTGGAATCAGACTTTGCAGCACGCATCTTTTTGTAAGGAATTGTCCACATACAGAATGCCTGTCCTACGGGAATCAGAAGCCGTCCAGGGGTGACAGTGAAAAGTGGAATTCAGTTTTACTTAGTGTAAAATCCTTCCTGAGTTTGCTGGGAGCATCGGCTCCACCCTGGTTGGATTTCTGGTAATAGTGGTGACTGCTCATACACTATAAACTAATGAAACCATGAACCCTTCTTGGTATTTTCTATGAGGATTTCTAATACTACAAGTGCTCTATATAAAGGCTCTTCACCAATTTTACTGGTTTGCAGAAAGATGAATGTAATTAAAGACCAGCTTCTGAATGAATAGCAATAATCGAGGTAAATATGTGATTACGCCTCTCGAATCAATAGTTGGCTAGAACCCGGCAATGTATAAAGTGGGACGCACCCGGCAGGAAAATGTCTTCCGTCTTGAACCTTATCCTCCTTTCTCCCCACAGGCCTGGAGAGGTAATGTGTCACACTCTGAAAGCCATTGCTGAGCTGATGGAACATGGCTTTGTGTCCTGGGAAACATTCAGCACAACCTTCATTCACAAGGTGAGCAGAAGGAGGCCTCGCACAGAAAGTCATATGACAAGGGTGAATCTGGTATTCAGGGTTTACATATCTGTTGCTGCTGTGCTGTGAACTGATCTGAACAGAAGGGTGATGGGGTTCACACAGTGGAATGACTCGGAGGAGTGACACCCACCCCTCCCAATCCTTTCTCCTCCTGTCCTAGTAGGTACTGTTGGAGCTAATGCTGGGCTCTCCTATAAGATAGACCAGCAAGCATTGCATACACATTGAAACATGGAACCAATCTGTATTCAATAGTTACTTGTTCAAATCCTTTCCCTACATACTGTAAGTCCTTTTCTTTCTTGTCCATTGAGGGACATTGGAAGTTATTCACCTTCAGGTTATACTGCCGGACACTGGGAAACATAAAACTGCCCCGGCTCTCTAGTCTCACTTGTGACGGACCTCCGTACTCAGGATGAGTATGTCCGCCGCTGTCTTCTTCCTTGCTGAGGAGATATTGGAACCTGAAGATCTGTAGCTCCCAGTTTACACTAACACCTCGTTCACACCGGAACGTTTTGTAGCGGGTTCTACGCTGGACGAACGCTCTACAAAACGCTCAAACATCTAAATTCCATTGTATTCAATGGTCTCGTTCCCACCTCGGCGTATTTCCGCCCGTCCCTAACGCGCTACAAAACGGCCCGCGCCTGGAAAGGTCCAGGTACTACTTTGGCCCGTTTTGTTGCGTGTTTTCCATTGGGATACAGCCAAGTAGCCTTCGGAATCGCGCGACGGTCGCGTGACTTTTTTACCGCGAATCGCAATACGCCTAGGTGTGAACGAGGGCTTACTGAGTGGGCCAGTCAGGCCAAGCACTGGGAGCTACGTGAATTACTTAGGTCACTGGGTCCCATTATTCCCCATTGATGTGGAAAGGTTTACATTGTGGAACTTACCATTGACATCATCTGCTGGGTGGAGTGCTGCGTAAGTGCACGCCACGCTTTTTTCTGCCATTCCCACTGCTGCGTCACGTGAAACCCTAACCCTAAGGTCTCGTTCACACCTAGGCGTATTGCATATGCGCGTCTGTCGCGCGTTTTTTTAATTGCGATTCGCGATAAAAAAAGTTGCGCGTTTCCGAAGGCTACTTGGCTGTATCCCAATGGAAATGCGCAACAAAGCGGCTGAAAGTAGTACCTGTACCTTTCCAGGCGCGGGCCGCTTTGTAGCGCGTTAGGGACGGGCGGAAATACGCCGAGGTGGGAACCAGACCATTGACTACAATGCGATTTATATGTTGGAGCGTTTCGTAGAGCGTTCGCCGTGCGTAGAACCCGCCACAAAACGTTCCGGTGTGAACGGGGGCTGAGGGCCTGTGTACCGCTCTGTTCTCACTGCAGGCTTCTGCCCTTCATCCAACTCTAGTTGTGACCAAATCATGTCTACATGTCAAAGATCAAATCCCGTGCTAATTGAATGTGTTCCCGCTTCCACCGTGTGGCCCCCTTTTAGTTGGACTGCATATGGACATCCCAAAGGTTAAAGTTCTGCTGTGTCCCTGAATGGATGAGAAAAAAACGGAATTGTTCTACTCGCTGTAAAATCCTGTTTTCTGGAGTCCGTTGAGGGACACAGATCCCTCCCCTCAGTGTTCATGCTCATAGTGCTGCTTAGCTACAACATGGAGACAGGTGTGGAGTATGAGGGGTTATCCTGGGCTGGCACCGCTATATCCCCAATGTTAGACCTCCGGCGTGCATCACTGGACTCCAAAACTAGACGTTCCATGAGGCAGTCCCTGCGAGCACCCCCCACTACAAGGACATATCGGTAAGGAGAGCGACAAGGATAGTACTCATACTACAAGACTGACAGTCCCTGCGAGCACCCCCCACACACAGGCCTGACTCCCAGACACATGTAGAATGTTTAGATTCATTACAGCTGGAGTGCAGAGGTTGCCTACCCCAGACTCTGTCACCTGCTCAGTACTTTGCATGAATTGTTGCTGTAATATCCTAAGTCCTGGTTTTGCCGTGTAATAATAACGCGGCGCTTTGTGTGGTGCAGGTGGTGACATTAATAATAACGCAGCGCTTTGTGTGGTGCAGGTGGTGACATTAATAATAACGCAGCGCTTTGTGTTGTGCAGGTGGTGACATTAATAATAACGCGGCGCTTTGTGTGGTGCAGGTGGTGACATTCGTGAATATGAATCTGATGATGGTGGAGATTACGCAGCTGGCTCTGGACATCCTGGAGAGCGTATTGCAGAGTAACACCAAGCTCGGAGAGATGGTCACACAGGAAGTTCCTCTGGAGAGACTCTTTACCCTTTTCACGCTGTAAGTCAGATCAGGAAATGTACATAATACGGCGTGATAGAACAGGACTACAGGACGACAGGACTACAGGACGACAGGGCTACAGGGCTACAGGGCTACAGGGCTACAGGGCTACAGGGCTACAGGACTACAGGACTACAGGGCTACAGGGCTACAGGGCTACAGGGCTACAGGACTACAGGACTACAGGACTACAGGGCTACAGGGCTACAGGACGACAGGGCTACAGGACGACAGGACGACAGGGCTACAGGACTACAGGACTACAGGGCTACAGGACGACAGGACGACAGGACGACAGGGCTACAGGACGACAGGACTACAGGACGACAGGACGACAGGGCTACAGGACGACAGGGC